CTTGGAAGAGGACCCCGAGGGCCAGAAAGACTCGAACACCGATGCTCGAGGCGCAAAGTTCGAGCACCTCACTGAAACACTCCCCCTTGGCGCGCCGCCGACCATGACCTGTGGGCGGCGCCGGCGCCGTGCCGCCGCGACGGGCCCTCCCGGTTCGGGCTTCGAGGCTCCTCGGAAGCTGTCGCGGCTCTTGGGCCCACATCCCCGACGATAGATTTTCTCCGTGCTGGCGTTTTTCCGTCGACTTCGCACGTTTTTCCCTCGACTTCGCCCTCCAGGAAACGGTTTTTGGCCCCCCGGACCAATAAGAAAATATCCAGGACGCAAAAAAATTGCCCCCGAGAAAGGGGTCGAGATCTCAGAAAGGCTTGGGACAAATTTGCTGGCCCAACGGCCAGAGGCGTGCAAAGATCTCCGGTAACTAGTTAACAATATTCTAGTTCGCGCGCGCGGGGCGACCCCTGGGGGCCCCCGGGCGAAAAGTACCCCGAGCAGGTCCCGGGTCAGCCCAACGGGCCAGAGGCGTGCTAAGATCTCCGGTAACTAGTTAACAATCTTCTAGTTTGCGCGCGCGGGGCGGCCCCTGGGGGCCCCCGAACGAAAAGAACCCCGAGCAGGTCCTGGGCACGTCGGTCCCAGCGATGGCCCAGGTCCCAGAGCGCCCCAGGAACGCCCCAAGAGAGCCGAGACGCCCCCGAGACGATCCGAAGGGCCCTGAGTCGCCGAAAGATCGTTCCAAGACGCCCAAGATGGCCTCCAGACGGCCGAAGACGCCGCCAAGAAACCGCGGGGAGCCTCAGGAGGCCCTCCAAGAGCCTGAACAAGCAAAAACCTCCCAGGCATTCGTCACCCCAGGGCCTCCTGGAACGCCCCGGCGCCCAATGAATTGGCGAGGTAAAAACGTGCGCCGAGCCAAAGCGGGAGCGCAACTTTGAGAAAATATCGCTCGGCGGCCAAGCGGGAAGGTGATTTCATCCACTTCGAGAGTGGGGGGAGGGGGGTGTGCCGCGCCCAATTCTTGCCATGCACTTTTGCTGGGTGGACGACAAGAACTATGTGGGCAGGGAAAATCAGCATGGCATTGCTTCTGACAAGTAAGGTGGCCCCTTCCGCCTTGGGGTTGCCCCAGAAGTCCGCGCGCGATGCGCGCCGCGCCCCATTCCTGCCACGCATTTCGCATCGTCGACGACAAGACAGGCCATGATGAAAGGAAAAACGGCAACTCTGTATTGTTTTTTACAGTCAGGATGGGAGGGCCCGCGACCCGCATGGACGTCCGCGCGCGATGCGCGCCCATTCCTGTCACATATTTCGCACCGTCGGCGACAAAGCAAGCCATGCTGAGAGGAAAAACGGAGACTTTGTATTGATTTCTTAAACTCAGGATGGGTGGGCCCGGATTGACGGCCGCGCGCGATGTGCGCCGCGTCCCATATGTGCGCCGCGTCCCACTGCTGCCACATATTTCACACCGTCGGCGACAAGGCAGGCCATCCTGAGAGGAAAAAACGAAGACTTCGTATTGATTTTTTACGGTCAGGATGGGCGGGCCCAGATTGGCTGCCGCGCGCGATGCGCGCCGCGTCCCATTCTTGCCACGTTTTTCGCATCGTCGACGACAAGAAAGACGATGTTGAGAAGAAAAACGGTTACTTTGCATTGATTTTTTATTGTCCAGATGGGAGGTCCCGGATCGGGTTGCTATCGGCCAGAATACGAGGTAGGTGGGGGTAATAAGAAACAAGGATGGGGGGGGGATGGGTGGTGTGTGTGTGTGGTGGTGTGTGTGTGGGTGTGTGTGTGTGTGTTTGTGTGGATGTGTGTGGGTGTGTGTAGGTGTGTGTGGGGGGGGGGAGTGTGGTGTGTGTGTGGGTGTGTAGGCATGTGTGTGTGGGTGTGTGTGTGTGTGCGTGTGTGTGTGTGTGTGTGTGTGTGTGTGTGTGTGTGTGTGTGCGGGTGTGTGTGTGTGTGGGTGTGTGTGGGTGTGTGGGTGTGTGGGTGGGTGTGTGGGTGTGTGGGTGTGTGGGTGTGTGGGTGTGGTGTGTGTGTACGTTCGTGCGTGTGTGTGTCTGTGTGTGCGTCCGTGTGTGTATGTGTGGGTCTGGGTCTGGGTCTGGGTAGTGGGTGTGCGCGTGTGCGTGTGTGCGTGTTCGCGTGTTCGCGTGTCTGCGTGTCTACGTGTCTGCGTGTCTACGTGTCTGCGTGTCTACGTGTCTGCGTGTCTACGTGTCTGTGTGTATGTGTGTCTGTTTGCCTGTGTGTCCGTGTGCCTGTGTGTCTGTGTGTTTGTGTGTGTCTGTGTGTCTGTGTGCCCGTTTGTCTGTACGCCTGTGTGTCTGTGTGTCGGTGTGTTTTGTGTGTCTGTGTGTATGTGTGTTTGTGTGTAAGTGTGTCAGTGCGTCAGAATGTGTGTGCAAGTGTGTGGATTCGTGTGTAAGTGTGTAGTGTTTGTTTGTAAGCGCGTGTGTCTGTGTGTTTGTAAGTGTGTGTGTGTATGTGAAAGTGTGTGTTGGTGTTTGTGTGTGCGTGTGAAAGTGTGTGTATGTGTTAAAGTGATTATAAGTGTGTGCAATGTTGTGTGTAAGCGAGTGTAAGTGTGAGTGCGAGTGCGAGTGTGACTGTGAGTGGGTGTAAGTGTAAGTGTAGGTGTAAGTGTAAGAGTAAGAGTAAGAGTAAGTGTAAGTGTAAGTGTAAGTAAGTCGGCGCGTGTGTGTGAGGCGACATCCGCGCTGTACTGACCACCCGCGACGTCGCTGTGCTGATCGCTCGCATCTCTTCTTTGCCGTTCGGCCGGCCCTCGGACGCGCCGCCTCATTCCGGCGCGTCTCTGCACTCGGGGCGCCACGCCTCTGGTGATACCTCCCTGGAGCCATGACGCGACCGCGCTCCGCGCCGTCTCTTGTTGCTCCCTCGCCGCCCCGCCTCGCACTTCGCTTCAGCGCTCCGCCTTGAGGCGGTGCGCCCCAGTTTTGCCTGGTCCACTCTGCGCTTCGGCGGGCTGATCACCGACGACGCCGTCGTCGTGCTGATCGCCCGCCGCCTCACCGCGGTGCTCCCCTCTCCTTCCGCGGTGGTTCCCCCAGGCGCTCGCGCCTCCCCCGCTGCCTCCCCCCCCCGCCCTGGGGTGGTGGGCGTCTTGCTCACCTCCTGGCGGTCACCCGTTTGGCTGCCGCCGCCCCCGCCGCCCTGCCGCTTTCCTGGCCGCCCGTCTGGCGCGCCTGCTGGCCCCCAGCGCCCGCCCGCGGCCCCGTCGCCGCCCCCTGCCCCTCCTCCTCGCTGCCGGTGCCCCTGCGCCATTGTCCATTGAGGCCCCAGCGGACCCTTGAGGCCAGCGGCCAGCGCCCGCGGGACTTCTGGGCGCCCTGCGGCCTGGCCCGGGCTGCGACGCTCAGAAGATTGTGTGTGTGGGTGTGTCTGGAGAGGGGTCGGACAGTTGCAGGTCCGCAAGCACGACGGCCCTGAAAGAAGGTGGGAGGTGCGATGCGGAATGGATGTTGGTATGAGGAGCCGCTGGAGTATAGATCACTCCGTCCAGAAAGGTGAGACAGTGGCTCGTCTTACGAAGGTCAACAGCAGAGATAAGTTGCACGAGGGCAGGTCGATAGCAGGCATGGTGGCTGACGACGCTAAAATGTAGCAGTTTAGACCGCGGCGCTGTTTGCGACCGCAGGCACTGAGAGCAGAAAAGAGCGACCAATCTCTCGTAGCCCGCCCTCTCATTATCGTACCATCGTATTTCGCGATACTAACCACCACAAGCAGCATCTTGGATGGAGCTGATACTTAATTTCTGTGTTACTTTCGCTGACGCTACTTGGAAGCATGGTAAAATTGTCCCAGCTTCAAGGCGTAGTCATGACACTGGGCTCTGGGCACAACCACCACCCACACTCCCGATGGGACGGGTCGCAGAGCGCCTGTGCCCCTGTGGGATATTGCGAGGCGCAGGGAACCATTGAGGCCTCAAAAGCCCGCTTTGAGAGACCCTGGGAGCACTTGGAAGGCTTCGGAGCATCCTTGACTTCTGTTCAGCGTCCTGTTGAGATCCATCCGCGCAATACTTAGTAGGCGTTGAGCTGTAGCGACCACGCAGTCCTTCTGTGTTGTCTGCTTGACCAGCCTGCCACAGGCGAACTGGGAGGTCTTGCGGCGTGGGGAGAGGGATCCAGCGTCAGCCCTCTCCTGGGCGGCACCCAGCCCAACGACTCCGAGCAGAGTCGAGCCGCAGCGACAGGGCCGCCCCTCGCAGCCAGAGAGGCAGGCCCTTCCCCTTCGGAGGGCACAGGGGGGCCGTGAAGGGAAGCGCGCAGGTAGTCGCACGAAACAGCTCCGCGCGAGGGGCTCAACACCCTCGCGACTGGGCTGAGACGGGCTTCACCCGGGGGGCTGCCAGTTGACTTCCGCCACCACTGGCAAAGGTCCTCGGCCCATCCCAGCCCAGTTTTCCGACGTCGTGCTTCGTTCACGACGTGGACCCCCAGAGGTCTGGACCTTTTTTCCGTGGGACTGGTTCCTCCTCCCCGGCTGTTTCTTGACGGTCCTATAGGGGCCGGTGAGATCCCAGAGGCCGAGTAAGAACCAGAATGCTCCGCAGTGGCGTTCCTGTGCCAACGAGTGGAGGTCTGGCAAAGCCCGCAACCCTGCTTCGCGGGCGACGTTTCTCCCCCAATCCCCGAGCTTCGCCCGAAAAGTTTGGCCGCTCAGAAGAATGGGAAAACCCTGGGACACACCCCCAGGGGGCTAGTCGGACGCGTCCCAGGGTTGGGCCCCCAATTTCTGGTCCATTCGGAAACCCCACGAAGCCTGGGCTGGGGTCGACATATCCCCTGTCACTCCTTCGTTCCCCCCTCTCCGCAGCCGCTCGGGTGATCGGCGGCTCGAGGCGCGCGGGCGGCCATGGCGCCCGCCCCCCCCGCGCGGCGGGCCGGCGCGCGGCTCCGGCCCGTGGCAGCAGCCGCGGCCGCCGCGGCGCTCGCCGCCTCGCGCTGGGAGGCGCCGGCGTGGCTGCGGCCGCCTGCGCCGCGCGGCGGCGCAGCCGCGCGCGCCAGGCTCACCGCCCACCAGACCACCCCAGCCCAACCCGAAGGCCCCGATTTGCCCTCCATTGCCAGTGGGGGGGGGTCGGGGAACACGGAAGAGACACACATGAAACATGAAGCCCATACCCCCCCCAAGCCCGGAATTCGGGTCTGCGGGTTGGGTTGGGGTGGTCTGGTAGGTAGTCACAGGCTGCGCCGGCTGGCGGCGGCCGTGGCAGGCGCCGGGGTGGGCGAGCGGGCAGCAGAGGCGCTGGCCGCCGGTCTCTGGGACGCGTCCCCGCTCGCCGCGTTGCGGCGCGACTTCCTGGCGGGTGCGGCCCTGCCCTCTCTGCCGCAGCCCGGAGTGCTGCCGCCCTGGGTCGAGGCCGATTCCTTGTTCGAGATCGTGCCGCACCAGGTCGAGCGCGACATCGAGCAGCTGAGCTACCTGGTGTCCGAGCGCGTGTTGCCCGCCGAGCTGCGCAAGTTTGTTGTCGACCTCGCCATCCCGGAGTACCAGCGAGTCCTGGACATGGCTCGCAGCTCGGAGGACGGCCCGTTGTGGAAACTGCGGCGGCTATCCCGCCCATTACCAGCCTGGAACATATCCCTATCCCTATGCTGGGCACCTCCTCATCGCGATGCCAATCTTAGGGATTCCCTTTTTTTTGAGGGCGAATCCCTAAGATTGTCATCGCCTTTTGGCGTGTCAATCTTAGGGATAGGAATACGTTCGAGGCTGGTAAGCCCAGCTAAAATCAGTCCCCACCCCTCCTGGGGTCTATCCCATCCAGCTGTGGCGACGAGAGGCCCCCAAGAGGCTCCAAAGGACAGTAATTGCAAGGGAGGGCCGCCGTTGTTTCGACTGGCCCTCCTCCAAGTATCGTACTGGATGGGCGTTCCGACGTGTACTTCGCAACCCGCCCACAGCCAGATTTCGCTATTTTCTTTGGCTTGCAAAGGCGCGCTCTGCACCTGCACGATGGCGAGGCCGTCGCGGGAGGGGCCATCAGCTCGGACGTTGATTTGCAGGCGGTCCAGCGCGAGTTCTTTCAGAAAGAGCACCGTGCAGTTGTCATCGACGATTTCTTCTCGGACGATGCCTTGAGGGACTTGCGGACGTATCTGATGGAGTCAACGATCTGGACCGAGGCAAAGTTTGGGCACGTTGGCGCATACTTAGAGGGTGGTTTCGCGTGCCCCCTTGTGTCCCAGATCGACCAAGAACTGCGCTCCAAACTGCCCGAGGTGTTTGGCGACCTTGAGCTCGACACTGCCTGGGCCTACATGTATGATGGATCACTGGGTGGTGTCAGCACGCATGCGGATGACGCCCAGGTGCAGATCAATTTCTTCATCACCCCCAGCGAGGCAAATATGGGACTCAACGACACCGAATTGCCCTCTGGCGGGCTTGTCCTTTACGGGATCGGCCCTCCGGAAACGTGGGGCAAAGAGGATTTCAATAATGTGTACGCTAGGGAGGCAATTGAGGATCTGATTGCTACGACCAATCATTGGAACATCACTGTGCCTTACGTCCAAAACCGCGCGATTCTTTTCGACTCAACCTACTTCCACCGGAGCGACGACATGCGGTTCAAGAAAGGGTACAAGAACAGACGCATCAATGTCACGTTCTTGTACGGCAAACGGAAGGCTTTGAAAGCCCGGCCCGCCGTCGATCTGGAGATGTGCTCCAACCTGGCCGGGTTCCAAGCCTCCGAGGCAGCGTCCGCCATGGGTCAGGACAGGGAGCGGTTCTACACCGTCGGCCAGCAGTTCCTCGACGAGGACGGCTGGGCCATGCTGCGAGCGGAGAAGTTGATATGATGCATTGCGAGTGCAGGGCAGGGCCATCGATTATCCAGCCTCGAGGTTCAAGCCACGATTTTCAATGGCGACCGATTGCGTGCGTCCGCTCTATATTGTTGATCCTGCTCTTCCCCTTCATCCGCGTCCTCGTCCTTCTCTTCCGATCCACCTCTGGTCCGTCTCATACTCCTCATGATCCTCCACCTTCTCGTCGCTCTGACCCTCCATGCAAAGGGCAAGAGGAGTACGCACATGCCGAAGTACACGATTGCAAGTTTGCCCCAGAAAGTGGGCTCTCAATCTCAATCACACCTGCCTTACACCGCTGGCCTTGCCGACGGCCACAGCGTCCGACTCTGACCCCGACTCCAGCCCCGATGACACCGCACCGCTACCATCACCAATGCAGCGCCCGCGTGGAATAACATTTGAATTATTATTATGTAAGTCGACATCCTGCTCCGGAGCACGAGTCGGCTTGTCCAGAATAAGGTATTTTGTCCAGTGGTTATGGTCCCGATATGATGCCGAGTGCAGACCGTACTGACTCTTCTTCCTTTGTTCGCGCTTGGCTTTCCCAGCCGCCAAAGGGCAACACATCTAAGATCGAATCATTGGTTTTGACACCAGATTCCAGAAATTATCAAGGGCTTCCAGAACTGACCGCGGGCCTCCGTGGTTTCCAACTTCATGGCCCAGGGCTTCATCATTACGGACCAGGGCGTCCGCATGTATACGCACCTGGAATCGTAAGGACCAGAATTTCCCAAGGCATTTTTCTCATACTTGCAAGAAGCCGTCCATAATACATGCTTGTTGCGAATACGATTGGGAACGCATGTTAAAATGTTGCAATGTTGTTGTTCGCCGTCAAAGTTTATGAGACTCAACGTTTATGAAAGGGCCATAGTAGCGGGCCAATCCCATATGGGAATGTCGGGCCATCTACTGATCTTGCGGACGGCGACAGGCGGTTTGGCGGACCGATGGCTCGCCCCCGAATACCGAATGTCTCTGGCGCTCCTGAAGTAGAGGGCGCGGCAGTGGAAAGGTATCTTTGCCCGCACCCAGCCCGTGGTGAGAAGAAGAATAGCGTGAACGCTGCGGGTCGGCATCTTGGTCCGCATTCGAGTCCACCTGTAGGTCGATGTAGCGTGTTTTCAGATGCAGCATGTTACTATGACGATGTACACTGTGAGTTAATTTTGGTTATGGGGTGCCAGCGTCTTGGCAGCAGGGCTCGCAATCCGGGATTCGCATGCCCGCGGTGTTTCTTCTTTCCCACTCTGGCTTGTAGATGCATCTGTTGGTCCACCTTTCGTCCATTCCCATGGTAGGTGGTTGCAATATCGTGTCGCATGTTTAGAATAAAGTGTTCCATCACTTCGCAATGCATCATTATCCCAAGCGTTTTCCCAAATGCGCTCATGTCAAATATTTGCCGTGACCGTGTGTGTTCCCATGTTAATGGTATTCGTTAGCCGTCTTATCCTAGAGATTTGAAGTTGGCCTCAGCGTGGTACTTCCTAAAGTTTTGAACGTTTGTTGATGGTGTCAATGTGTTGTTTCATTTACCCACTCAAAGCGCATCGCAAGTCTGACATACGTATTTGGAGATATTCAAAACCACCTTCCATATCTTAAACCTTTGACTCCAAAATTGTAGTTCACACGTCTATACCATCGATGCTCTCATTCACAGGTTCCTGGAACTGTTTCATTTCGTGCCTGATGTTGCCAACCACACGCATGGTAGGTGCAACGTGTTTTTTGAACGGGTCCCTAATTTATGACATTGTCACGGGTCCATCGCCCTCATCACCGTCTTCATTCAAGTCGTTGTTCTCGGATATTGCCTCGGATCGACCTCTGAGCAGCGGGCTCTGTCGACAGCTCAGGGCAGACCGCGGCCGCCAGCGGCGGCATTGGCGCCGCGGCGACGGCCCCGCGGGCAGCAGCTGCAGCTCGCCTGCCAGGCGCGGCGCCGAACTCCTCCTTCGCCTCGATCATGGAGCGCGCGTGCCGCGCCACCTGCTCCTCCCACTCCTGCGCGTCGGACTGGGCCAGCCTGCGCATGTTGCGTGGTAGCTGGCCCGAATGCGTCGCCGTGCTGCTCACGCCGCATCGCAGAAGTCCTGCGCCGTCCTGAGCCTGACCACGCCCAGGTTGTCGATGCCAATCGTCCGCGAAGCCTCGTTGACGAGCGGCGCTAACGTACCATACATCAGCATGTCGGCCACGTAGGACACGCGCAGGCGCAGCCAGTGCGCTCTGTCTCCAGTTTCGTCGAGCACAGAGACGTCCTGGAGCCAGAACGGAGTAGGCCCTCAGCCTCCTCTCGAGCGCCATGCGCACCGACACGGCAGCTCGCCGCGCAGGGTCCTGGCCCTTGGCCCCCGCGACTTGCAGCCGCTCCCCGAAGACGTCGTTGCGGCTGACGGAGCCAGTGGTGGTCATCTTGATCAAGGGCTCGAAGACGGCGCCGTTTGCCAGGCGTTCGAGCCCAATGCCCTTGCTGACCTCACGCCACTGCCACGCTTGCACAACGCGCAACAGGAGACGCTTGACGATCCATGGGGCCAGCTCGAACACATCGATGTCGACACCTTCGTGCGCGCGCCAAATGGCGGCGTTGATCACATGCCAACCGACCCGCTCGAGGGCGAGCCGCGCCGCACTGAAGGGCCCACGAACCTTGCCCCAGCTCTGGGCCTGGCAGCAAGTCATGCCACAATCGACGATGCGCCGGGGAATCCAGCTTCTCCATGCCGCCCGAAGTAGCATCATGGTGGGCAGTGGCGTGGCTCTGATCATCGGGTCGAGCATGGGCGTCAGCATCAGGGTGAGCGCGCGACCGCCCAGCCACGCTTGGCGCGACCGCCTTGAACGACTCCGTTCGCAGCGTGTCCAGCTCCATGGTGGCGCAGCCAGTGACGGTGACGCCGTGAGTCGCGTTGGGCTCGATGCCAGCCCTGGCAACCTTGCGCACAGCTTTCTTGCGCCCTGCCCTTGTCTTGAGGATCGCCACGCGGCGTTGACGGAGCCCTGCTTGCACCAGCTTCTCCTGGCGCACCTTGCGCACGATTCGCTTGCCACACGAGAAGTCAACGCCCAAGTTGCGATCACCTTTGACTGAGACCACGCCGAGCGGCCGACGCAGACGGGCTGCCAGGCCATGGCGAGCAGCTGGGAGGTTTGCCAATGCCCTCGACGTCTTGACCGCCACGTCGAGGTCCACGTCCATGAGTGGCGTCTTGAGCTCGAAGGTTGCCTCAGCAACCTCCTGCGTCACCCGCACGGGCCCGCCAACTCGATGGAGCATGAGGTCGCCCAATGACCACCGCCAGCGAAACGGTCGGGCGCTGGGCGACCAGGCGGTCGAGCGGCCCGATCAGGATGAGCTTCAGCAGCGAGGTCGCGAAGCCGTCACCAGGCAGGATGGACTGCCTCGCCTCGATCACGCTAGAGGCAGCCTTGACCATGCAGAGGGCATTCGGCGCGCAGTAAAGCTCCAGCTGCAGCTTGAGCCGCCACAGCGGGAAACCAGTGGTGGTGGCAGCGTCGAGCAGCCAGCGGCGTCGCACTTGTTCGAACGCCATGAGAGGTCGAGCAGGACGGCGACCGCCACCCAGGACTCGGCGTCACCGTTGTCAGCGCCCCGCTGCGCGGCTCACTCTCCGATCGCAGCTAGATGCCATGCGGTCCGCTCGCAGCACAGAAGGACATGCCCGTGGTGGCCTTGAAGGAGCGCAGCATGTTACGCGGCTCTTGGACTGAGGGCCTCGGCGGCCTCTCACCCAGTTCCGAGGGCCAGTGCAAGCGCATGCGTTCGCAGGATGCCCCCCACCAGCGACTCCACTCTACCTCGAGTTGCGCCACCTGCTGCCCGAGATCCATGGGCACGAAAAGCTGCTTATTGTCCGTCGCCGAGGCCGTCGTCGTTCTCAGCTTCGCCGATGGGGCTCGGGCCGAACCCGATGGGCAGATGGAATATTGCGTGAAGACCGCCATCTCCACCTTCGGTCTGCTGCTCGACCCACTGCTGGACTTGGATGGTCCGCTGCGCCATGTCCCGTTCCACCATCTCGAGCGCGATAGCGTGCGCACCCGCATGCAGTTGTTGCAGCACGACAGGGCCCAGCAGGGACAGCGTCCACCAAGCCGCGGCCCAGGGCAACACCTGAGGCCAGGACAACACTTCGCTGTTATCAGGTGTCGACCTCGCAGTGGCTGCTCTGTCTAGCTGTCTGCGCACGCCTCGAAGAGCGTCGATACGCGCGCATGGTTGTTCCACGGCGGCGATGTCGAGCAGCACACCGGCCACGCGGTGCATCCAGGTCGCCTTTGAAATTCGAGGAGCGAGCACTAACCACAAAGAGCCGACGGTACCACCGCGGCACTGCAAGGCGAGGTCGCCCCATGTGTTTGACCTTGTCCTCCCGCGGCGGCGTCGAGGAACCGCTGCCAGGCTGTGGTGAAGTGGCCCTTGATATTGCTGTCGTGCTCGACCATGTCCAGCACTCTCTCCTGCCCGCCATCAGGTAAGCTCTGCAACAGTTGTTGGCGGATCTCGTTCTTGCGCTCGCCGTGCGCATGGCGAGCACAACCCGCAAGCCGTTCGAAAAGGAAGGGTTTGGACATTTGCACGACCTTGACCCATGGCCCTCTGTGCGAGGCCTCCAGCACCAAGATGATTGGTTGGCGCGGGTAAAATTACGACCCACTGACCATTCCGATGTTGGTTAGCTTGAGCCCTCGCGAGACGATGAACAGGTCGATCGTCGTCCTCGATTTCGCGCAAGTGGGCTCCAAAACGTCCGCACTGACAGCGTCCAAGGGCGAGGAGAAGGAGCAGGAGGAATGGGGCGGAGAGGCGGAGAACGACAAAGAAGACAACGAAGATGTTGAGGAGGGGACGGGGATGGCAAAATTAGCTGGAATTCCGTCGTTATCGGCAAGGCGTTCTCGAACATCGGCAAATATCATCCATGGTAATATTTACACGGGTTTCGGGTACATTATTTTTCGGAGTTGATTGAAAACCAAAGGTGGGATTTCTGGATATGGTGCGACGAATTGCTGAAACGGTTGCGATCATTATTGAAACGGGACGGGCTATTATTAAACCAGCACCGGTTAATATTGAAGCGGTGGCGGTTCATGCGGAAACGATAAGGGTTTTCATTGAAACGGTGGCGATTGATATTGAAACAATGTCGGTTGTTTTTGGGAACGGTCGATCTCCATGGGTGTGTGTTTTTTGGGGAGGGGCAGGCCTGCCCGATAATTGGCAAATACATAATCAGCAAATTCGGGAGGGAATTTGCCCAAAAACCGTTGTGGGTGCACGGCACGGAATTCCAAAATACAAGTCCGCCCAATCGGAAAGGTAACTCTTGTTGCGCAGTGTATCTTGTCTTTTGCATGTATTTATATATATATATAAATCCTGGGTATCTGGACGTGAAGCATCTATTTGCGTAGCCTGTTTAACCTCGTAATGAATTGATATTAGTTTCGTTGCTTTTGGCTTGCTGTTACGAAATTAATGTGTGTTTTCGTGTGAGGCACGCCCCGACTTTCAGCAATCTCAATTCGATGTTACCGAAAGATATCTTGACTGACATATCCTACAAGGCAAACCAAGACGATTCTTGCAAATCCGTCAACCGTACACCGACAACCCTAAATGCCAAAAATATATTAGTTCAAATCGCGCGTGCGAGAAAAACGAAGTTGCGTGAATGCGTGTTGCATTCGTCCGTTCGTCGTCTCCGTCCATGCGTTCCCAAAAAACCAAATGGGTCTATGCGCCTCAAAAAATCAAATGGTTTCCTGCTCCGTCCGTTCGTTTGTCCGGCCGGCGGTGGCCAGTGTCCCGCAATGTGTCGTTAAGTGATGGACCCGGAATTCCAAAGGTGAGAATCCGGATGTTTTTCCATTCTGAAATCTCGGAGGTTTAAAAACCCGGAACTCTTCCACGAAAGTCTGGAACTCTACAAACTTGGGTTTTCTTTTTCAAGACCAAATATTCTGGAGTTCTCTACGGTTTTAAAATGCGGGATTGGGAAGGAAGAGAGACAAGAGGAGGGAGAGGACGAGGAGATATGATCGTTTTCAGTCCACTTACCAACGCATTATATTACAGCGTTTTCGATGGAAAAATGCGGCACTATGGCGTCATGTAAATTTCGTTCAGTTTTGGTGCATGCGTCGGTGGCTGGTCGGACACAACTAGCTTGAAAATAAAGCGACGCAGAAAGTCTGAGTTTGGTGCCCCACGTATTTTCCAAACCATAGAAGTTGATGAAGCTGCGTCGTTTCAGGTTGCTACCCGGCGCTCGACAGCACATCTTCATTAGAAATTCGAGATATGCA